AGGATGATTCAGAAAGAATCAAACTTATGATTTTTTTTCAAGAGCTACCTGAGGCACATGCCTCTGTAGAGCATACAGCAGGGAGACTGCCATTTACGGGAAGTGTGGTGAGCCTGCACGGGGGGTCCCAGATCACCTGTGTCAAGGTTTTCAGGGAGGTGTATACAGGAGGGAGCAATGTGAATTCAAGTGCCCTCTGCACAGCCAAGAGAAGACAACCCAAATTTCAGACAGGAAACCACAGAGGACCTGCTAACGAACGTCATAACTCCCATTCCCTCTTTGTTTTCCATTCTTCTAGTTCCTCCCCTTCTCTTCATTTTCACACTTTTGCTCACAGTACCTAACAAGTGGGTGTCCCAGATGGGGTCAAATGCAAATGACTCACTCACTATTCACTTGGCTATTACTTCTGTTGAAAGGAGAATTATCACTAACTAGCCCAAGGACAGGAGACAGAGACCTCAGCCTAAACCCACCTGTCACACCACATCTCCTGAAGCATGCCCCTCTGAGGTTAGTTACCCCAGGATACCACATTTAGATTTTCTCTGTAGTGCTTTTTCTTTTAAAAACAAAAGATGGTAAAACATCTGGGGTCAAAATGATCAGTTTGTTGTTGGGAGTTGAAAGTAGCTGTTTAAGTTCTCCCTTTGGGTAGTATCTGGGTGAAGGGAATTGTATGATCGCTAAACTAATTTTCAAGTTATTTAAGCATGCCAAATCCTGCTGGCACCCAGGGAGTGAGATGCTTTAAGATGCAGGGAGAAACCAGTCGCATTTTCTACTGTTGCAGAGAAGGCACCACACACACTATGGACCTGTGAATGACTAACTGGGTACCAGCTTTCAGAAATGCAGCCCAATGACATCCACACAGATGCACCTGGTGCCAAGGATAAAGGTTTCAGCAATAGAGAGGTCTGCATCGATGTAAGAAGGGGAATCCAATATTCTGCTCTTAAAAAATCTAAACTTGTACAACAATCTATGACAGGGTGGTATTTGTATTGTTTTTTAAATTTCAGTTTAATATTTCCTTCCTTACAATCACCCTCTAGCATTCAGTTGACAAATATCTGAACTTGTCTGTTATGTTCAATATATTTTAGCTAATATAGTTGTACCATTTTCTCTAATTCTGTAAAGTTAAAATGACTGAGAACCTAACAAGTGGAAACACAGTTACAGATGTTGGAGCCATGAGAGATTTCAGCTATGATCTCTCCAACTCTCTGATTTTATCAATGAGGCTATAACGTCAACTTTGAAGAGTTGGGATAGGTTAAGTGTGATTAGATAAAAAGTGAATTTCATGACATGTTTTCCTACTAAACGGTGAGCTCCATAGAGGCAAAGCCTGTTCATGTCTTTAGCATTATACATAGATATAGATATAGATAGATATAGTAGATATATAGTACCCAGTATTATATATATAACAGTCTATATATATATATATATATACACACACATACATATGTGTGTGTGTGTATATATATATATTAGACATTTGGTAAGTACATAGTAATGCTGAATAAAGAAATGAAACTGAGATACAGTGACTTTACAAAGAGGTAGTAAAAGAGCCCAAGAATCTTGAACCTCAGATTCTCTAAATGATCTGATTCCCAGAGTTTTTGTGTGGGAACACAGGCAAATACTCAAGTCGCAACTTAATAAACTCTTTGCATTCCATTAGCCTGTGCTTTATATGCTAGTCAACTACTTAAGTTATAATATTTTTTCAAATCATAATTAAATTTCAAAGTAAAATCTTAAGCAAATTATTCTTATAAAAGTATTTTTTAATAAAACAGGCACATTTTAAAGCCCATACTATAAAGTACTATTTTCTTGCCTTATAAAAGTATTATTTATTGTCAACAAAATTTTAGTGCAACATATAACCATCTATTCATGACTTACTATTACTTAAAACTAGTATCTATAGTGTAAGTCATTCCTTCAAAACCAAACTTGTGTTTACACCTACCCTGCAGAAAGGATACACAGTCTTTTCTGTGGTTACAGCTACACTCCATTTTCAAGCACAAGAGTAACAAATTTCCTCTGGTTCTTTTACCTAAATGTATAAGGTACTTGATCATGATTTCTTGGTCCAACTGGCTTCAAGTGGCCATAACCCTAACAAGTACTTATAAATGTGACTTCTCAGTTTTATATACAGAAATCCTAGCCATCTCTGGGCAAAAATATTAGAACCACCAAATTTCTTCACTGCTTGTCAATAAAATGATCAATTATGTTTTATAACTGCAAATTTGATGTAGAATAACATTTTAAAATAGGATTCTGTTCCTTCTATATTAAATAAAAATCCTAAGTAAAACAAATAACATAACAGTCATAATTCTGTTAGTCTAAAAGAATACAATACTTATTCAACTACACTGCTTCTTTTTAAGTAAATTTTATTTCTTGAAATGGTATTAGTCAGGTGTAAATATCAGTATATTTGAGAACTGTTGTTTCAAACGAAAGAAGACTATCAAAATAGAATACTGTTTTTGTCTTTCTTGGCATCAACATATTGGGAATGACAAAAATATTTTGATCATCTAGTTTCTTTCCTTTTGGTAACAATTCAAGGAAAATAATTTATAAGTTATAATTCCTTAAAAGCTAGAAAATAAGATAACAGAGGGAGGGAAAGGAGAGGTGGAGGCTTTCCGGCACCTAGGCCATCTGCATTCATTCCGAGAAGCTAATGAACAAGATAAATTTTCTAGCAGTGCAATGTTCCGAAGATAATTACAAGAGGATAGAAACAGAAGTGTTTGTATTGGGGTGCTGGAAGCACTGCATATTATAGGAGAGTAAGGGCTGTGGTATTTGTGTGTGTGTGTAGATAGATGATAGATAAACAGATGATAGATAGATGACAGATAGGTAGATAGGTAATAGATAGGTAGACAGACATATATAGTANGTGTAGATAGATGATAGATAAACAGATGATAGATAGATGACAGATAGGTAATAGATAGGTAGACAGGCGTATATAGTGTGTGTATAGATATAGATATTGATATATAGATAGATATAGATAAACATATGTAGATGTAGATATATAGATATATTGAAAAAGTCACTTTTGCAATCCAAGAATTCCCTCCTAGGAAAGTAATAAACTCATATTCAAATACAGTCAGCATCCAGGGTCGCTCAGTAATGCCTTATTCACATTTCAGAAAAAGACATTCACCCTTAGTTGGAGTAGGCTTTTAAGGGATAGAAGCACACACATAAAATAGCTTATATCAATTTCTATGTTTTGTCCTGGAAGAAAGATGTGATGTGGATAAAAATGCCAATAAAAATGAGTCATTAAAAAAGAGAAATTACAGTATGCTTTCCAAATTTCATTCATTGACAACCTACAATAACTGTAGAAATCTTTTTTACTTTAATTTGGCAATCTCTTAATTTGAGCGGTGCATCTGTAAAACATTTATTGTTGAGGCAAACAATGTACTTTTTAGGGTCATGTTTATTTATGGTTATTTTCTGTTAGCTTTTTCCCCCCATAAGTTCACTTATTTTATTCCTTCTCATTTTAAATTTGTCGCACGACTTCATATCCAATGTATTGCTTAAAAGGCTAACAATTTTACAGACATTTCACTAGCTCCAAAAGATAAATTCGTATGAGAGTAAAATCTGATCAAAGTCACCAAAATATGGCTACATCAGAGATTTCTGCAAAATATGGCAAAGATTTGTACTTTGCTTGAAGTAGTAGTTACTGCCATTGAGTTTGGTCTACTGTATATGCTCTATTACTGCTTCCTTGTGATAAATCAATAAGGCAGGCATCAGTACTCATAATACATGAATAGAGAAACTGATGTTTGTTGAGTTTTGAAACTTTTCTAAGATCACATACAGATATTCAAAGGGAAAGCTAGGGTTAAACACCAGAGTATGAGTTTCTGGAAGACCCACGTAACTCCCCTGCTGTCTCCAGAGCTTAGAGACCAGTTAGGCCAACCTTCCAACCCAGGCCCGGGTATGGCGAAGTGATTCCCTGAGTGCAGACAGCGAGGTCCTGTCAGAGCCGAGTCAGACCAATCCTTGTTTGCTTCTCTCTACTGTAGGGTTTGGGCTGGTTTTCACCCCTGAGACACACTTGAAATAAGGAGATGTTTCTAGAAAGCTGACTTCTGGCATTAGGTTCTTTTCTTCAGCTATAACTAGCCTAATGTAAACCCTTTTGAAAATTATATCAACTTTGCAGACCGGCAAACGTTATCCATTGCTTCATAACCTTATTGGACATCAAGTAAAATCTGATCAAAGTCACCGAAATATGGCTACATCAGAGATTTTTGCAAAATATGGCAAAGATTTGTACATTGTTTTAACTAGCAGTTACTGCTATTAAGTTTGGTCTACTGTATATGCTCTATTACTACTTCCTTGTGATAAATCAATAAGGAAGGCATCAATACTCATAATACATGAGTATTGGACATAAATATAACCTTATTGGACATCAAGAACGGCCTTCAACGTCTATTTTCGTAAGGTAAGGATAAAGACCATGATGAAGCATTCAATTCTAATTAATCAGTCAGCAAGCAAAGTCTTTCAATTGTTTCATTCATTCATTTTTTTTTCTTTTTTAATCCTCACTTGAGGATATTTTTTCCATTGCTTTTCAGAGAGAGTGGAAGGAGGTGTTTTATTTATTCTTATTATCAATTGTTCCACCTAGAATATTACTGGGAAGTGTCAGTAAATAGACCTTTTTCATTCCCCTGTTTAATCATTATAACATCTATAAAATCAAGTGTAAAAGTAAACATATTCTCCCTGTACTTAATTCAAGTGTGGTGGAAGAAGATGAGGGGTCAATGCCAGTCACTGAGAAATTCTGGGACATTTCTTCAGGAGGGGATGCCATTTACCCCGCGATTGCTGAGCAAAAGTTACATGTGTACAGGTAACAAACGGTGAGCATTTCCGCAACTTACCCTGGAGTTAACCACTTCCAGCGAGACGTTCTGAGGTGGGGCACTTGGCACTAAAAGGAACAAAGCAAGGTGAGGTGTTACTGCCAGAGTCCGAAAGAGAGGCGACAACCCTCGGAAATGTCTTTTTCACAGCTCATACTGACAGCTAGGTTGATCTAGGTGGCACTTTAAAATTTTCCAGGAGAGGTAAAAAATAACTGCATTTGTTAATTTTTACTCACTTGGTGGGCCGGTTATCTACCTAGGGAGCCCTCAAAACTATTAGGCAAGAGAGCACCGGCCGTGATACCAAATAGTGACATTTAATCACAGCTTTCTGGCAATAACCTTCTGAGAGAAACCAATAAAAACACACAGGAGGTTTCCTAGAGTGGTTTTAAAGGCTTAAGATATTGTGCATTTCAGGATCTGCATGGTTTCAGGACGAAATAGGTCGTCATTCTAACAGTCACTCCTGTTGCTAAATCCTTTAATGCAATCTTTATCTCTTAAAAGGTGAAAAGAAGAAATACCACTCCCCCCCCCCCCC